GTCGCCACTGAGCCAACAAGCAGCAACTTCGCTGATCTTGCCCTTGGACGAGATGTGTTCGGCACAAGAGGGCGGTTTCGAAGTGGACGATCATGAATCGCCGCCAGGGTCCACCGTTGCGAAGCCGACCCGCTACATAGAGACTTCAGCAGCCGTGGGGTCTGAGTCTGGGCCTCCGGGCTCGTGCCTGGGAATGAAATACTCCAATATGGATCTGCCATCGGCCGGACTTGTGGGCGTTTTCCCCTCCAGGAGCGATGTGTTTCCAGAAAACAGCGACAGAGAATAGAAGCAATGTCCTGAGTGCTCTCCATCCTTCTTTCCTGTTCTTGAACAGCTGGGGATGCCCAGTGTTTCGTTTTTTATTAATTTTTATTCATTTCTTGCCACATCCCAAGGCGTTTTCTTTCAAGTGCGGATTAGCACCCGGAAAATCTCGCCGCCTCTTTTACTACATCATTACTTTCATACAGCATACACACGTCAGTTTCACGTTTTCGACGCTGGTATTCAGCGCATGTTCACTCCTGTCAACGGCGGTAGCATGGCCTCTACTTCCCTTCTTGATATTTTATAGCAACCAAGAGTACAATCTTTCTCCACGCCGACTTTTCGTGATATCGTCTTCATTTTTCTAATCGTCCATGAGTTGCAAGTGAAGAGATAAAAAATACTATTGTTGTTTTACCAGGTTAAACTACCGGGGTAACTGTATCTTGTGCAACTGCTATCGATCATTCTGCTTTAAACATTCCTTGCAGTAGTGAACACCAGTGCTGGCATGGATGGTCGGGGACTGGGAGCGAAAGTCGCCTCTTTGTGAAGCCACTCCTATCCTCGACGGCCATCTTTCTTTTCAGTCTTCCTTTTTTTCCCCCGCTGCGCTGAATTCTGTACGTGGGATTGTTGTGAGAGTTGATCACAACGACTGAAGCAAAGCCCGTCGTTACTCTGAGCCGTTTTCTGGCAAACCGCCGTTCTGTCCTCAAACCCGTTACATAACCTTAGAGCAGTATTAAACCAGGCTCAAAAGATGTCAAGCTCAACAGGAGGCTGATGCTAGCTCCACCAGCCTAGCCTCTACTAGTCCCATGTAACTACCCGCTCACGGTACTTGTCGTGCCAGCACACATTCTGTTTGTTTTTTAATCCTGCCTTGCTTCTCTTTGCTTCTAATATTATTATTGATTCTCATTGCTTCTCATCGTTTTCCTTTGCTTGTCTTTGCTTCGCATTGCCAAGTCGGTCATTATTGCCTGTTACATGCTTCTATCTTTCTTTAATACCCTTTTTCCCGTGCCATGGCTGACTATCGCTTCCGCTGACTGACGGTATATTGGCCTCCAGGCCATGGGAAGGTCGGTGAAATACAACGTAAACATAAAGCGACCGATTTTGCCCTTTCTTTCTATCCGGCTCCCTCTGACTACATGCACATTGCCCTGCAGATTCCAGGCCATGGGAAAGTGAATTACAACGTGCGAAGTTTTAGACCGACAGAATTGGCTGTTGACTAAGACATTTGTTAGTACAGTCAGACCTCGCTTATCGGAAAAGAGGACCGGACAATGTCCGGTCCTCTTTTATCCGGATCCCTCGCAGTCCGGAACAAAACCCTTGGTTACCGATTTACATCTATATCATACAGTATGTGTGTTGGATTATCCGGTTCCCTCGCCTATCCGGATATTTTTTGTGGAAAACGGATCATGTGTGCGGTTATGGGAGATCTGACTGTGCGGTACATATCAACCAGAAAGTCGTAAAATACCGGCATCAAGTAATACGGTTTACCACTCGCTGATAGCAACAGCCTATAGGCGAACGAGATATTTCCATGAGTCAAGCCAGCCTAGAGCCCTACATGTAACTATATACACATCACAAAGCATTGTGGAGGCCGGGCGCCAAGCAGACAGGACTTCAGCAAGTATTCGTCCTTCGGGGTTCGATGGAACGCACTACTGAAGAGACACCGTATTGCGTGACCGATCCTTTCAATGTTCTAATCTAAAATATTCTAGTCTTTATTTTTCCTTTTCCACCTGGACTCCTCCTTGGTTTCCCTTTTCTCTCTAGCTCTTCTCTTGTACCTTCTTGCTATTATTCACTTAAATGTGGGGCTTTGAATAAAACAAGTCGACACTGAAGACGAGACACTACTACTACTGGTGACGTACTTTTCTACTGCAAAACATGTACTCTACACCCTCTAGGCTCTAGGCTCTAGCCTACACTACGTAGTCTCTACTCTCTACTCTAGCTCTAGTACTGTAGTAGTGGCTCTATGTTCTCGAGTTGGCATGGCAGCCTAGGCTTAGCAGCACACTCCAGTAACTATGGAGTAGATGTATGGCTACTTCTGCCGTTTAGGAGTTTCTGGGGACAGGTATCTCCATGATCATCATGATGCAGTGTACATGCACTCCTGCTACCATCCTGTCTAGTACCGTCCGTGCCCGGTGTTACACTGGCCGTTTGGGTGTATCCAGGGAGTAGTAAAATACTGGGTGTTTCCAGGGAGTAGTAAAATACTGATGCTTTTTTGCTTACATTTTTAGTAAAACACTGGGTGTTTCCAGGGAGTAGTAAAATACCAGGTCACGGTTTAGTAAGGGTTTACTACTTTGAAGTAGTAGTAGTACTACTCCCTGGCCTGGGTGTTCCCATCATTCACGCGTAAAGGAACGCCGGCGCCGTGCAAGACAGGATAACAGCGTCAGAGCTAGAGTAGAGATCTTCAGAGTCGCATCCCTGCTCAAACCAAACAGTACAGGCTCGCGGAAAACTAGTGCCAACGCCAGCATTGTCCGATTGAGTATTGGAGAAGTGCTGTACCATGTGTACGGCGTGTATTTACCGCCATATTGCCAGGTGCGTGTTTACCACCATAATTATGAATACAGTTTCAGGAAGTGCTGTACGATGTGGCGATGCCTGTCTGCCTTCCACAATCATGGCTTGTCCGTACTGATGACTGTTTCTTAGGGCTCGGAATAATGGTGACAACTCAACTGGCGCTGCTTTTCACTGTTCCATATTACATGTACAAGAGGTGGTATATTGTACGTTGTGAATAGAGGTAGCGACTTCGGTAATGCATGACCGGTACGACCCCACTGTTGTGCTATTGTTTTGCTTAGAACTTTGTTTTGTCCCCCCCCCCCCCTCCCCACACTCCGTAGGTAGGTAGTTAGGCGGGGCCAGGAGGTGTAGGGAGACCTTTTGTTTCGCTCCACACAGTTCTCGAAGTGCGAAGACTCACTCCACTGTTCATACAGTTCTGACAGTTTTTATTTATCTCATGATCCCTGCTGCCAATACCACAGGTGCAGTGCGAAAGCTCCGGTCGATGAAGTGATGAAACAACACCATCTTCGCGCAAGACATCTGTGGGAGAGCCTAGATAAAATTCTGACTCAAACGACAGTCAACTTGTTGATCTGTTGGTGCCATTTTCGCTTGGAGCACATTGATAGGATTCTACACTTTGAAGAATTTCTTCAAAGTAGCTACAGCTCTTTTGTTCAGTAATGAGCAGATGGTTTCACTGACGTTCGAACACAAATACTCTGGAGGCTCGAGCGATTCAGCAAAGCATTCCGACGCTCAACTGCAGTCTCCTGCAGCCCTTTCCAAGGTTTCCCGTAATCTCGACTTCAATTCGTCGCCTGCGTCTAGCATGTGGTAGGGTCGCTATAGGCGTTCGTAATCCTTGCAAGGGATTGCTGAGGAGCTGAGGTGTGCCTACTATATGCACGCATGGAGAATGGCGAAGCAGCAACAGCAGCAGCATAACCTTCTCCTTGTCAACCGTATTGCATGGATGTGGTCAGCGACTTGTCCGTTGCCATGGGGCCTTGACGTCATCACGGTTCCCAAGCCGCGGCTAAAGTCGTGCGCAGAGCGTGCTCCACGCCACGTGCAGCTCAAGCAGTACGTCTGCAATGCATTGTATTTCGACTATCTCTGCCAGAACATGGGCTACTTGCCAAGTCCAAGGCCTCACAGGTAATGGGCGTATTACTAGTTGTCCGGCAGTTGAGCCATTTAGAGAATCCAGGAAAAATCCGTCTGCGGCGCTAGCATGCGTAGTAGGCACGAGCAGAATACCTTGCTAGCACGTGCAGAATACCTTGCTAGCACGTGCAAAGAGTAACAACGAATTACATAGCACATGTATAATGTACCAGTCACTAGGGACTCCCAGACCCGCTAGTTACCGGAACTGATATACACCTCACCCTACGTGATTGTCCAGTAGTGTACTGACGTCAGTGACGTTTTGCGACTACACTCAGCATGCTAGCAGCAGAAACCTTCTTATTTTATTGTAATTTTTATTGTTTAAGGATTTTTTTTAATAGTTATACACCTCACGGAGCAGTGTACATACTAAGACAGGTTAGTATGCCTGATATGTGTATGTGCACTGCGTATGTACTCGCGTGTATGTCAATCTCCCAGTGACGTGTCGCGTCTCCCCGACACATCAGCATGTCAGACTTTCTGTCGCGCGCACTGTCTCCCGTCGCATCGTCTACCGCGACTCCTCCGAAACGACGCGCTACGCTTTGCGGCAGCCAGGATCCAGTGGCGACATCGCGCTTTGTAGCCTCGGAGTCGTACTACTAGCATACCTGGGGAAATCATCACGGCCGTCCAAAGGAGGAGCTATCTCATCTGCAGCCGAGCACATCTTGTCCCAGCTTGCTTTGGCCAAGGCATACAATTAGCTGAATCGTACTCGGTGGTACGTGACGTGCCTACCTTTGGTACAAGCACGCGACGCCGAGCCCCTGGAGGTGATTTCACACTGCAGCGCTCCTCGGGCGTGCTCTCTTCTGCTGCAGATTTCTACGTCCAAATGAAGAGAATTCCTTACCAGTAAAAATGTTAGGGCCACTGTAATTGACTGATAGCAGATGTGCTTTGCCATGGCGTGAATTCTTGGAGAACAATAATTAATTGATGGAGACCACCCTGGATGTCGCTGATAGCTTGATGCAAATAGATGCCACCACGTGGAGCTCTGGAATCGAGCTGCGAGCAAGACGCGACGCTTGGCGGGGTTGTCTCTGGTGGGAGCTACGAAGAGAATGCCAACTGGCTGGCCAGACGACTCCCAATTCCCTCCTCACACTGATTGGCAAAGCTCGGACGTATGGCACAGACACTACGCTTGCCCCAATTGGATCCATTTTTGTCGACATCGTCTCCTGCAGGAGGTTGTATCCAGCGTCCAGGAAAGTACACTCTTCACTGCAATCTTAGACAACCACTACTAGTACGAGTTCTTTCCTTTTTCGGCAAGATGACTGTTCCGTCGATGAAGTTAGTCGTCCCATATTGTGTTTTGTAACCACACTATCGTGTTTCTAGGAACTCCATCCGCCTCTTTTGTGACCGAGCTCTATCTGCCAATCTCCACTGTATTCACTCGTTATGCTACCTGCCTGGTATGTGGTGGGTGTTGTTCGATCAAGTAGCACAATGCGGCAAACCTCGTTATTTTTATTTCACCGCTCAAAGTACGGGTATCACCTCCCCACCCCCCGGCTGGCGCTTTGGCGTCTTGTGTCGCCTCTGTTGAAATACATGTACATGTATATGGCACGATGATACCAAGGCGCTAAATCATGCACAGATTTGATTGTATTGCACAACGTTATCACACGGGTCCTGAGCCAAGGACTATCGTCCAATAGCTGTTTCCGTATCTTCGGTGCATCGGATTGCAATTCTTCTTAGTCCGCTAAATCATGCACCGATTGGACTGCGTTGGACAAAGTTATTACAC